TTGTATAAGTAAATAAATAACCGTTCATGTGATTTGAGTTTTCAAGACTTGATGTTATATTTAGAAATCCATGAAAAAGGACTATCTCAAAAAGATTTATTTATTTATTTTGTTTTTTTATTCTCCCATCACATATTTTGCATAGTGTGTCTATATGTATTATTTTTCACTCCATTCCTTCATGTGTTATTCATGATTACATTTTTTGTTTCCCTATGATAAGTAAATAAATAACCGTTCATGTGATTTGAGTTTTCAAGACTTGATGTTATATTTAGAAATCCATGAAAAAGGACTATCTCAAAAAGATTTATTTATTTATTTTGTTTTTTTATTCTCCCATCACATATTTTGCATAGTGTGTCTATATGTATTATTTTTCACTCCATTCCTTCATGTGTTATTCATGATTACATTTTTTGTTTCCCTATGTGATTCATGACAAAAAGGGATAGAGATAAGTATTTATTTCAGGGAAGTTGAGCATATGATTTACGAGAAGAAGTTGTTACATTGTTTTTTATATTTGACTTAGGTGGAGACATAGATTTTTAATTATTGTTGATCTGACTAGCATAATGTGTTATTTAAGCTTATTATGTTAAGTGTTCTGTATAATATCGATATCATACTTTAGTGTTACACATGTTTTACAGACACTATTTATATAATTTAGTTATGCGCTTAATTGTTGTTTCCTATTGATTTTACACGATATTGTTGATTTCATGTGTTTCAAGAAATATGTATGACAAGTTGTTGAGTTGAAGTTTGGGAATTGAATACTTGGGTTAATAATGTCATGTTTGTTTGGTATTAATTTTGATATAAATAATTTTGTCACTGAATGTTAAAGGGAGAGTTTATTAGTCCAATTGTAATTGGAAAGTTCCGTCCAATATCATATGTTATTGAATTGTAATTAAAGTCAATGGTTGGCACTATAGGTCTTGAAGGAGTCAAAGATGTTAAAAATGGACAAAGGAGAAGAAATTGTTGCAAATCGCTTGCTGGCCACCTTCTACCTGCTTGAGCGTAAAAAGGAAAAGCACAATTGTTCACTAGGTGCAACATTGGCGCTTGTGCGAAGGACTTACCACTTGCTAGCCCTGAGGGAGTCTGCTCGAGTAGTTTATTTATATGGCCAAACCTAGTTCGCAATTTTGAACAAATTTTTCGATCCTATACAATCTCAAACAAGCAAGGGCGCGCATAGAAGTCATAATTCGCCCCAAACTATCTTTGTTACTTTGGTTGAACTATTATTCATTTACAAGAATATCCTACAAAGATCAAACATCAACTCCATAATTTGCTTGATTCAACCACAATATCAAAACAAAGATCTAAAGATCAAACACCAAAAATCTTTACCTTCGCTAATAAACCTTCAGAATTCTAAGGTTAGGAAGACACAGCTAGAGTTCCAGTTGTTTCAAAATGAGTTCATTTTTTGTGATCCACACGAAGGGAAAAGAAGTCTAGAATTCTAAAAAGCACAAGCAAAGAGGTTTTTATGTAATTTACAATTTGGGTGGTCAGATTCTATTAAATTTTAGTTGTGTTTAGACCAATAGTAAGTTGTCGTTTCTAATAGATCTTCTTGACAAGGTTTGCTATGAAGAATTCTTCAAGGGATTTTCCTTCGCAATCAAATTTGGTGCTCTTTACTTTTATTTTATCTATATTGCACGATTGACAATTAGGCTTAATTTGATATTAAACTCAATCATTTTAAACTTAGCCATACCGAGGTTGTGATTCTTTCCTTGACTTTAATCATGTTTTTTGGATGCTGGAATGTCAGAGGGTTAAATGTCCCCCTCAAACAATCTGAGGTTAAGAACCTTATTTCTTCCAATAGGCTTTCTTTGTGTGGGTTGGTTGAAACTAAAGTTAAGGAGAAGAATCAAAATAAGGTAGCGAATGCCATCATCAATTTTTGGAATGTTCTTACGAATTATAATTGCTCTTCGCTTGGCAGAATTTAGGTATGTTGGAATTCAAATGATGTAGATGTTTTGTTGGTAGTCTACTCTGATCAAGCTATCCATGTTCGTGTTAATGCATGTAGTGGTAAATGGAGTTGTGTGGTGTTAGTGGTATATAGGGATAATAACCCAGTTAAGCGTGTTGATCTATGGGCTGATTTAGTAGATATGAATGGAGGCTTTGCATACTTGCCATTGGTGGTCATGGGCGACTTCAATTTTGTTCTCTTCTACTCAAAAGTGAAAGGTGGTTCTTCTTCTTGGTCTACATGGCAAAATGATCTTGGGAATTGCATGGCGATAATGGGGTTAGATGATATGAATTTTTTACAGCTGTCTATATACATGGTCTAATAAGTATGTGTCTAATCCTATTCTTAAGAAACTTGATCATGTATTGGTGAATTTGAAGTAGGAGGATGAGTTTCAGGGATCGGCAGCTACTTTTCTTACTGCTGGTATATCGGATCATTCTTCTATGGTTATGAAACTGGCTGAGTTATCGCGTATGAAGATTTCATTTCGCTTCTTTGATTATTTGATGGATAACCCGGATTTCTTTCCTTTGGTGGCTCAAGTATGGAGTGAAGCAATCATTGGAACCCCTACGTTTTGTCTGTGTTCGAAGTTGAAAAAGCAAAAGCTTGCCTTGAAAGATTTTAATAAGGAGCATTTTTCAAATCTACCTACAAGAGTTACTCGAGCTCAGACTCATTTAGAGCATATTCAATGTTTGATTCAGCATTCGCCTTTGGATTCATCTTTACGTAGGGAGGAGGCTCAGTTACATAAGGAACTTTGTGAGTTGATTAGGGCAGAGAAAGGCTTTTTGAGACAAAAAGCTCATCTTAAGTGGCTGAATTTAGGAGACCAGAACACTGCTTTCTTCTTCAAGGCTATGAAAACTCACTATGGCAAGAGTAAGGTGGTTTCGATTTGTAAAGATGATGATACTAGTGTGGAGGAGCCGCATGAAGTCATTGAACTATTGTTGTGTTCTATCAAGATCTCCTTGCTTAGCAGCCTAGTGGTGAGAGTCTAGATATGGAATTACTTCGAAAAGCCCTTCCTAAGAGTATCTCAGTACTACAGAATGAAGACCTTGATAGAGATGTGTCATTTGAGGAAATAAAGGAGGTTTTGTTCTCTTTGAAAGACAACAAGGCTCCAGAACCTGGTGGTAATAATGTATGTTTCTTCAAGAGGACTTAAGTCTTTCTTTGACTTGGAGTTTCTATTGAAGCAAGTTAATGCTACTATCATCACATTGGTCCCTAAGGTTCCAAATCCTTAGATGGTTGTAATGTATGTTTCTTCAAGAGGACTTAAAGTATTGTGGGGAATGATGTTCTATGTGCTATTAAGTCTTTCTTTGACTTGGAGTTTCTATTGAAGCAAGTTAATGCTACTATCATCACATTGGTCCCTAAGGTTCCAAATCCTTGTCAGGTAAAGGACTTTAGGCCTATCTCTTGTTGCAATACTATTCATAAATGTATTGCTAAGCTTATTGCCAATAGAGTTAAAATGGTGCTCCTAGACATTGTTGGACCTCAACAAACTGCTTTTCTTAAAGGTAGGCATATTAGTGATAATATCCTTCTTTCCCAAGAGTTGTTGAGGAATTATCACTGCAAATGAGGATTGCCTAGGTGTGCTCTTAAAGTGGTTCTCATGAAAGCATATAATTCTGTTCGTTGGGATTTCCTCTTTGCGATTTTAATGGTGCTTGGTTTTGCGGAGAAACTTATTAGTTGGATTATTGAATGTGTCACTACCACTAGGTTTTCGATTTCCATTAATTGGGAGCTGCATGGTTTCTTTGCTGGTGGGAGAGGTTTGAGACAAGGAGATCCTTTGTCACCCTATTTGTTTATTTTGGCAATGGAGGTCTTTTCAGGGTTAATGTGGTTGATGGTTGCTGAACAATATTTTAAATACCACTGGAGGTATGAGAAGGAGAAGATCACCCACTTGTGTTTTGCTGATGATCTTATGGTCTTTTGTAGAGCTGAGGTTGGTTCTATATCTCTCATTGGGGAATGTCTTAATTGATTCAAAGCTCTTTCTAGACTTATTCCTAATCCAGATAAGATTAATCTATTTGCCAGTGGTGTTTCCTCATATCTTAAGGATCAGTTGCCTGATATTTTGGGGTATAAGGAGGGCGTGCAATTGGTACGTTATCTTGGTGTTCCACTTATCTCTACCAAATTTTGGGATTTAGATTGTAAGGTGTTAGTGAATCGTATTACAGCTAAGGCTAAGAGTTGGACTTGTCGAACGCTTTCCTATGCGGGTATGCTACAACTTGTTAAGTCGGTGTTATTTTCTATTAAAGTCTATTGTTCTTCTAATTTTCTTTTACCTAAGGCTGTGATCAAACAAGTGGAAGATTCACTACGAGTCTTCTTGTGGAAAGGTAGTGACCTTGGCACCGGTGGGGCTAAAGTGGCTTGGGTTAAAATTTGTATGCCTAAGGAGGATAGTGGTTTGGGTCTGCGGAGTTTGGAGATTTGGAATAAGGCTGCCATATTAAAGCAACTTTGGTCCTTTTGTACGGATTTTGCCTCCTCTCTTTAGGTTTTATGTGCACGATGTTATTCACTTAGAGGATGGAGCATTTGGGAATTGAAGTGTCCTGGGGATTGCTTTTGGAGTTGGAGGAAGATTCTTTGACTCCAGGATATAGGGAGAGAATTTGAGCTCAAAATTCATGAAGCTTGGCCAAATCTTATAATGAACTCTGTGAAGGAAGTGAGATCGGCTTTTGAATATGCTTACGATGGGGTTGGATAAAACTAGCATCCTCTTGGCCCCTTAGAGAAGATTCTTAGTGAGAGGATCATTCGTGAATCCAGATTGAGCAGACTAGCGAAGGTGCCTGATATTGTTGAGGGTAATACTTGGAGGTGGCCTTCAATTTGTTCCCTAGCTTTGTCTGACTTGATGCGAGATACACTTGATACCTTTCGACCGGATAGTAATAAAGAGGATGTATTGTGATGGATGGATGATGTGCATGGAGTCTTCTCTGTTCGGAATGCCTGGGAGTCTCTTCGACTTCGCTGCCTTAGGGTAACTTGGTATCACATTGTATGGTTCCCTAAATGTATTCCACGTCATGCATTTATCCTTTGGCTAACAAATCTAGATGGCATCTACACACAGACAAAGCTTCTTCGCTTTGGTTTGGTACAGTCTATGTGTTGTGTGCTGTGTGGTTGTTCAGTGGAAGATTTGGATCATCTGTTTTTTGCTTGCCCATTTTCTGAGCGTGTTTGGCATGCTTTGCATGCAAAATGTAACTCACCTTGGGTTCAACGGAGTTGGGCAGATACTCTTTCTTGGATGGAGCAGTTTTGTGGGAGATCAATGGAATCCATTGTCATTCGGTTGATGTTTGTGGCTTTGATTTATGCTATATGGAGGGAACGCAATGTTAGGACCCATGGTGAGGCTCCTAAAAACGAGCCTACTGTTATTCAAGATATATATATTTATTTATTTATTTATTTATTTGCTGTGCACGAGTGAATATATGTAAGGGCTTGGTCCCTTCTAATGAGAATAGATGGATCCAACGTTCATAGATTTTTTTACAGATATTTTTATTGTCGTCGTTAGATATGAGCACCAATCTAGGGTTTTGTTATTGTTGTTAGGAGACATATATTCCTAATCTAGTTTCTTGGGATATGCCCCTGTGATTTGTACTTTATTTTCACACTTCAGATATAATAAACTTACCTTAACCAAAAATAAATAAATAATAATAAATAAATAAATAAAATGAAACACTAATCTTGTTCTTAACAAAACCCTACCATTCAACTTTAAGAAACTTGCAACCTCCCATGTAGGACTGGGCAAATCTCCCGAATCGAACCGAACGGATCGAACCCGAACTCGAATCCGAACCGAACTGAGCCGAACCTGACGGTTCTTGTTAAATTAAATATCCGAACGGGTATCCGAATTGAGAACCGACGGGTACGGTTCGGTTCTCGTTCTAGACCAAGAACCGAATAACCGAATCTTTCTAATTTTTTTTATATTGAGTAAATCAAATTATTTTAATTTTAATTTTAATTTTTTCTAAACAAATTAACAAATTAACAATTTCTAAATCCAAATTTTTGGCCCAATAATTTGTTTCATTTCTAATTTTTTAATTTTTGGCCCCATTACCTTTTTTATTGTTTCATTTTTTAACCTAACAAGATCCAATCCACTAAATAACTCTAAACACCTACACTAAAGTGTATAACGTTGTCTTGACTCTCGTACTCACTCTCGCAACCTCGCTGAGATTTCAAAACCTATACAATCATTGGCCGATATTGTGACCTCCGACCGAAACTTTGACCGTAGCGATCATTTGAACAAGGTAATCTACTATTCTATGGCATTCCAAAATCATTGAATGTATCATTAGTTGTATT